GAGTCCATCGTCTCTCATGGTTCGTCCACCCCTCCGATTTCCCCCGCTTCATTCTTCCCCTCCCGCTACCTTCTTCTTCTTTTAAAAATGAACTAAGCTTTTATTACCTTCCTAAAATTTCTATTTAGAATGACGTTTGGGGTGCTTTAGAGTAGTGGTCAACAAACATTTTCTGCAGAGGACTAGATACTAAAAATAAATAAATAAAGTTGTAGGCTTTGGTGGTAGCCCGGCCTATTCTGTTGCAAATACTCAACTCTGCCGTTACAATGTAAAAGCAGCCAGAGTGAGGGAACAGGTGGGGCTGGGTTCCGAAGTGGTAGTTTGCTAGAGCTGCTATAGCAAAAGACCACAGACGAGGGGGGACTGAAACAACAGAAATACATTATCTCACAGTTCCCGAGCCTGCAAGTCCAGGATCAAGGTGCTGGCAGGGCTGGTTTCCTCTGAGGCTCCTCTCCTTGGCTCTGGACGGTCACCCATGCGCTGTGCCCTCCCCGGGGCTTTCTTCCGTGCATGGGTGCCATGGTTTCTCTGTGGATCCAGTTCCCTCTGTTTATAAAGACACCAGTCAGTTTGGATTAGGGCCCAGCCTCAAGGTCTAACTGTAATTTTGTCACCTCTTTTAAGGCAATGTCTCGGGGCGCCTGGGTGGCTCAGTCGGTAAGCATCTGCCTTTGCTCGGGTCGTGATCCCAGGGTCCTGGAATCGAGCCCCCCATCGGGCTCCCTGCTCAGCAGGAAGCTTGCTTCTCCCTCTCCCAGTCCCCCTGCTTGTGTTCCCTCTCTTGCTGTGTCTCTCTCTGTCAAATAAATAAAAATCTTTAAAAAAAAAAAAACAAGGCCATGTCTCCTAAGCCCATCACCATCTAAGGCACTGGGAGTTAGGACTTCAACACACGGATTTGGGGAGAGGCACAATGCAACCTATAACATCCAGTAAAGCTCATTTGCAAACAAACAAACAAACAAAAACAAAAACAAAACGAAACAACAACAACAAAAACAGTCAGTGGGCTAGATTTGGGCCCCGGGCCCTCATTTCCTGACCCCTAGTATAACATATTCAGTCTAGCTCCTTCATTTTATAGAGGAGAAAATTGAAGTCAGAAGAAGTCAAATGACATGCTCAAGCCCTCCCTGTGGTGTGAGTAGAAGCCAGCAGGACGTCCTTGCCACCAGCCCAGAAGCTCCCACAACCACGTTCTAGGCAGCGCAAGGCCACCTCCAGTCAGTGGGGAGGGGGAGTGCCCTGTGGGATATGGGTGATGATGAGGGCGGCAGGAGCGAAGCAGAGAAGGCTGGGGCTGATGACACCTCTCAGACAAGGTGTCATGAGGAAACAGCATTCGCATTGACTTGAGGGCAGGAAGGGCTTCCTGCAGGTCATCTCTACTCCCCCTTCAGATCCATTGCCATCTGCAATCATCCTCATCACCTGTCCTCCCACAGCCCTGTGGGTCTCCTCCAGTTCAAAGCTCCCTCCTCCTTCCTCTACCCTCTACTCCGTGAACTCCTGTTTGGGAACCTCTCTCCATCAGTGATCAGCTCTCTCTCCCTCTCTTGCTCTCCCTCCCTCTCTCTTCTCCACCTTCCACAACTTCCTCCTTTGGAATGTTTCAGCTCCACGGATAAAAGTATTCAAGGGTCTCCCATCTTAAAACACACCTTCTCGATCCTAAGCCTCCCCCTATCTTCTAAGAGCAGTCCCTTAGAGCACACTTCTTAACCAATGGGATTCTGGCTCCCACCCCCAACTTTCCACTAAAAGCAGACTCACTGGGGTCAGCCATGATTCTTTTGTTGCTAAAGCTAATGGCCACTCTGGGTTCTTATCTTGCTTCCTCTCTCTGTTCAGCACTTAACACCATGGACCACTCTTCCTTTTCACCCTCCGCCTTTCTCTTCTGTGGTTTCACTCATCTCTGATTTTCCTTCTTCCCCACTGGCCTTGCTTTCCCAGGTTCCTCTGCCTCTGGCCCTGGCAACCGAGCTCCTTGAAATTGGGAATGTTTCCTCTCGCCATCACCTCTGGTTAACCAACATCGATATCAGATCCTGGCACACTTTAATAAGCACTCAATAATTAGTTGCTAGGTCCTCAGTGGGAGCCCTCCAGATTCTGTCTGTGGCTCCCCTCTCTCCCACTCTATAGAACTCTATGGACAATCATGTTCCCTTTTCATTTCTTCTCAGATGCTGATCTCCATCCTCAAGCTATCTCTTAAT